GATCCTAGTCGTAGATCGAAGGGTGAAAGAACTTAAATAGCGAAAAGTAGGTCTTGAATGGGACTTTTTGCTCTCACTTTCTCGCCAGAGCCTCTCAGCCCGAAATATTTGGTGTGAGACTCCTCTAGGTCCCCTCTCCTTTCCATGAGCAAAACTCCGTCGATCAAGGCTGCCGCCGGCGAGATCTTCGACCAACCGAGGCTTAAGATCTTCCAAGTTGATTTCCTGATGATCCAGAGCTCGTTTGATAGCGATTTCAACTAGAGAAATATACGAGGACAGTCTACAAGTGCAACAAGCCCAAGATTTACTGGATCCACCGTGTGGATCAAGGTATATCGCAAACTCTAGTTAGAAACACCTAGGTCTAATTAACGTTCGTAATATTGCATTTTAGATTTTGAAATTAGTCCCCTAAGAATGCTCTTCATCCCTAGAGTCTACGTTTAAAATTTTGTTCGATTTAATCAACCCAATCGTGAGAATGAGCCAAAATAATGAGTTAGGGCATGAGTTCAGTGTATCAGACGCCTGGAGTTGATCTCAACCATTGATCTCGTGATCAACAGTCAGAATCGTGTCGTTCCGCGGTTCGGAACGACCGCATCGTTCGATCCCACGATCCCGCGCTTCGTCCGGCAGCATCTGGAGCGTTGATTCATTTCACAGGAGATCGGACAGTGAAGGGCTCGTCCTACGTTGCTAAGTCAGCCGTTACCACATCAATCATTGCTATGGTCATTGCGGCAATGATTGTCGTGGACCGCGGGGACGAATCTCGTCCCGCCGCGTGGTCACTCAGCCGCCGCCGCCGCGGTTTGGACGTAGACTCTAGGATGACGGTACACTGCCGACACTTGGAGGGTTTGAACATACGATGGTACTTTGCCGACACTTGGAAGGGGTAAAAGAATGACGGTTCTTTGCCAACACTTAGAGGATGTGAAAGGATGATGGTTCTCTGCCACATCGATGATTGGTGGAAGATAGATTTTGTAAAGGCTTTTTCGCCTTGTTGTGAGGGAAAAAGAAGAGTCACTTTGGTAATAGTGCAATGCATGAATATGGAGTCTTCGGGGAGTGGATGTAGGTCGTGTTAGACCAAACCACTATAAATCTTTGTGTCTTTCAATTTTCACATTTATTTTGTGCAATTTAATTACTATGCTTGAAAAGCTTATTTTCAATTAAAATCAAATTCCTGAAAAGATTAAAAGGTTTTCTATTTAAAAAAATACAAGAAAAATTTTTAAATTACCAATTCACCCTCCTCTTGGTTAGCCTTGAGACATTAACTTAGAATTAACAACCTATATGGATTCAACACCAAGGACCTGAGTGAGTTTTAAATGGTCCATCAAATGTTTCCATAAAGTCAATGTACTAGTTCTCATAGTACTTGTATAAATAATAAAACCAATAAAAACACATTAGAAATAGATAAGAAACAATGAATGACTTGCCCAAAATCATTAATGATTGAGAGATCGATATTAAGTTAAAAAAAAAAAAAAACCAAATTTTAACATTAGAGTTAGTATAAGATTTATCAAAGTCCAATTCCATTTGATGAATAGAAAGTGGACTTATTAATTGTTCGTGGCCACCCAAACCGAATCGCGCCACGCGTCCCACTGATCGCCGTCGTCGTTTATTTAAATATATATATATTATTTCAAATGTATTTTTAAATACATTAAACTTTAAAAATTAATTTAAAAATATTATAAGTTTTATTAAATAAACATTAAACTTCAGAAACTTTAAACTATTATTTTATTTTATTTTAATAATCATTTTTAAATATGAATTGTTTCAAATTATTTTAAAAAATACCCTTTATTGTTTTAAAACTTTGAAAATTTATAACTATTTTATTTTAAATCGGATTTTGACGTGCGACCCCTCGTTCTTTTCAAAAAATTATAAATTTTATTTTAATTTTTTTTCAAAAATTAAACTTATTTTTCTGCCAGATTTCTTGTATTATTTAATTATTTAAGTATTTAATTATTATTTAAATAATTATTATAATAATTATTTTAAATTAAAAATTATTTTTAAACCCCTTTTGAAACCTCTTTAGGGTGGCCAGTGGATCTCCCCTATATATATGTATTATGAATTGATTTATTTTTAATTACTTTATTTTTTGAAAATCTATATATTTATAAGCATTTTAAACTACCTTAGAATTACTTATATTTTAAATCATAATTATGGGAAATCCACTTCATGAAATTTTAAACATAGATTGTATGTGTGAAAAGAAATAATGGGGGAGTGAAAAGAAATTTCCAATCATTCACTAATCATTTCATTAATTGTATTTATCTTTATTTATCGTAGTTTGCATGTGTATGATGCACCACCACTTAGTTTAGGCTCTCATATATCTAAGGACTCAACATGTTTATTTCTTTTGTGTATCCCTTGCATTGTTACCATGAGGTTTAGATAAAACTTCACTTCAAACTCCTACAACGTAATGACACCCTAAGGACAACAATTAAGGACCCGTCTGGCGAACTTAAAAAAATTATAGGAGCTATGATAGATCCCTGATTGGTATAAAAACTTTAAAATTTAAACTTAATGACATCATAAACATCATAGAATTTTCTAGGAATTTTAAGGGCTCTTTAGACTCCTTAATTAACCAACCCTAATTTACCCGTTAAATAGGGTTCGGTACCTTCTAAAAATTCCAATAAATCCCTTTTAACTCAGAAAATTACACATAATACCTCAAATTGTTCAAAACCTGATCCTTAACCTGGGATAAATAGGGCCCCTTAGTTTGACCCCAATCTGACCCTTAGCTTAGCCTCAATTAAAATTTATTATTTTGCCCCTAAAAAATTATTAAAAATTTCAAAATTTACCCAAATATTTGGGAACTCCTCCTTATGTCATTTCTGACCTTTGGGGGTAATTCCAATCAGTTTGGAACTGATTTGGACCAAAATCAAGAAAAATCATCCCATAATTAGATAATTTATATAATTCAATAAATATATGAACTTTAGAAATTCATAATTAATTGTAAAAATTTCCAAATTAGGCAAACTCAATTGAATTCAACTCCAATTAGGGTCTAGTATTTATCAAAAAAATTATGATTACAGAAACCCACTTAAATCAAAAAGTCAACTTTTCGGTCAACCTCAACCTATAGTCTAAGGTCCGAAACTTGTAAAATTCATAACTTTACGTAAGAAACTCCAAATCCAGCAAACTATCTGTCTAACTGCTCACCTTAAGGTCTAGTATTTTTCTAAAATATTAAAAACCCCAAACCTAGCATATTTTCTATAATGATCTTTTGGACCCCTTTAGCCTAGCACCTAGGAAGACCCGAGACTTTTCAAAATTGGCTAATATAGTTTAAACTACGAATATCACTACCCTAAGCATTTATAAGTGATAAACAAACTAAATTAACTAAAACGGATCATAATTCATTAATATCTAAACTTTAACTAAAATTTTATTTTTTAGCCTTCAACAAACCTGAACACTATGCAACTTTAACTAACTATCCAACTTATGATCTATCCCAAGCCACACAAACCTTACACACATATAGAATTGTTTGTTAGGGCACCACTTCTAGAGCCATGCTAGGCCGGTGTTTCCTTTTTCTGCTGTGTGCCGGGTTTTCCTATGTTTTCATTGCATGTTGTGATGAAATTAATGTGTTTGCTTACTTTTATTGCACTTTGGATTGATGTGACGTGTGTTTGATCTACCCCTACATTATGATCGAGATATATATTGCTTTTCTTGCAGGTGGTCATGCTCATGCTTAGCTAAATAAAAGGGGAGAAACTGTCATGATTTTTAATTATGTATTGTGCAGGTGCTTGTTTAGCCCCCTTAAATAAATGAGGGCTATTTTAAATCATTTAATAATGACTGCTGCAGGTGCTCCAGAAGCTGCATTAGCCCTCAATAATTAAGAGCATGACCAAGCATGGATGTGATGAGTTATTTTCTTTATATATAAATTGCTTGGGATTTTTATTAGGATAACCGTGCAGGTGACTATAGATTTTTTTACAGCTTTTCATTAATGTAAATAATTTGTAACATTTGTGAGAGTTGTGAAAGTGTCTTTTAGCGTGGATATTCTTATCCAACTCGAATTTCAAAAGAAGAAGACATCATCAAATGGGAGAGACTTGTTCCATTTGGAAGATCGAGTTTATATGACTTTAGATATCCAAAGAGAAAAGGCAATACCCCCTCCCTTCAGGGAGGAATTATCTATTCATTTGGATATTCAAACCACGACGGATCCAAGGAGTCCAAAGAGAAGAGATCCAAGGAGTCCAAGGAGAACAAATCTAAAGAAGACTGAAGAGTTGAAGATTTGAAGACCCAAATATCTCACTCAAAGTCATTTGCGTCAGTCTTAGGCTTAGAAATCCGGGTTGTTGGCAGTGGTGCCCGACCACTTTACTTTTTTACAGACCATGATTTGTAATTAAAGTGCAGTTGGCCTATGAACATTTACTTGATTAGTTGATTTATATTGATGTGTTTTATTTATGCTGTGAGCCTCTAGGGTTGCATGCTCTTTCTAGTTTTTTGGTGAATTGCATGCCGTATTTTGGTTTAGCCTGGATATTCTTTGGGCTCTTTAAGGATTACAAAAATTTTCTACTCGCAACTAACATATAAAATTTTAAGATTTTAAATAATTTAGAAACTTAACGAACTTATGGAACTATCGGAATCGTTCGGGGTCACATGTATATTATTGCATCTCTCTCTCCTTCTAATAAGACACCTCACCGCTTCCGGGTAGTGTCCGGATAATCTGATTTATGATGATGAAGTGCCGGATCTAGGGAGGCCCAATCTTTTTTAAAAATTTATTTTTTATAAGCCTATTTTTTTAAACTCTAAGACATTCGTGATTTGAATCTTCTAAACTATTATGCATTTCATTAAAAATCTCAAACCGCCCCTTCAACTTTTTTTTTTCCCTATGAATAGCTTCGAGGGTCCTCGAGACAACGCCAAGATATGTGCCGAGTGCTGACCGCGCCGCACTTCGCCCCCCGCCATTTGGATGTCTGCACCTCATCATCGCCTTCTCTTCACTCTGGTCCTCTCCCTCCCCTCTCCCAAATCGTCGCCCACCTCCTTCCTATCTCTCCGCCGCCTCCATTTTCTCTCACCAGCTTCTCTCCATCTCGCCACAACTACTTCCTTCTCTAGCTTATTTTCCTCCACCAGAGCGTCCGCCATGCCTTACAAGCGCCGCGTAATCCCACGATTCTTAACCATATGCATTAATTTCATCTCGCGGATTCTATATCTGACCGTCATTTCATTCTCTTTTAGGGAGGGCATGCGACTAATGAACGGCAGTACTGGAAGGAGAAACCTCGTGCTACGTCCGTCGACAACATTACAGAGAGTATCGGCAATATCAGCATTTCCGATGCTGCGGGAGGTAATAATATGGGTGCTGGTGCTAGTGGTAGCTCTTCTGCCGTGCAGTTTGGGGCGATACCGGGCAATTCGATAGCGAAGGGGCAGCCGCGGGGTGTGTGGTTGCCGAAAACTTACGTGACAGCGTCGGAACCTGTGGCATCTGCGGCGCCTTCTGCGACGGCTTTGCGCACGGAGAAGGAGACTGAGGTGAGCGGTGCGGGGAGCCTGTCTAGGTTGTTTCAAGGTCAGCTGGGTGAGAACTTTGTGGTCGATAACAATACGTTCTCCAGGGCGCAGATACGGGCGACGTTCTATCCAAAGTTTGAGAATGAGAAGTCGGATCAAGAGGTATGCGAATTTTTGCAGATAGAGGGCCTCATTCTTGAGTTTTTTTGTTTTTTTGTTCTGATTTATTTATTTATTGGCTCGACGGTCTTCCTATTTTATTATCAAAATACAATGATGGAATTACCTATCGATTGGAGCTGATATGGGTTTGAACTTTGAAACAAAGTTTAAATTCTGATACCATTTGGAGGCAAAAAGGTTATCCAGTATTACCAAACCGACCAGCTATAGTTCTTTAACGCAACATATTTCGAACGTGTTGTTAAATGGCAAAGAGCTACTTTTATGTTTGAAATAGTTCTTATTATTCAAAAAATAGGCTGTGGGTTGGCTGCTGTTTTGATCTTTCTTTATACAAATCTCCTCATTGTGATATGTGGTTCAGCTGTTAAAGAGTCTAAGAACAAGAAGCGGTACTCATAGTGGTATTTGCTAGTGATTGCTTTATAATCGAACATCAGGATTTATCACTCTTGGTCTTGCTGTTGAAATAAACCTTCTCCCTAATTTACCATTATAATAAATGGAGGTTATTTTCCTGGGCAATGGTTAGGTTGTCTTTATGTCTTTGATATATGGAGAACATGGGAATCACAGAAATAATCAGTGGGTAAGATTGTGTATATCACCCCTTGCACATTATGCTGTGGCCAGAAGCCTCAAGTATTGGGTACATAATTATATTCCACAGGTTCTTTTTTAACAAATATTTTTTAATTAGCAGAGCTCTAGTTAATGTCATTAATCATTATCAGCACCAACAACTTTGTCCTTACCATATGCGTCAGCTCTAAATTCTTTGATTTCTTTCTAAGTGTGTCATGATTATTTTTTTGATGTCTTCATGCATTCATTCTACCAAAAATTGTGCTAGACAGCTGATGAGGACATCAGATTTCGACACGTGTACCATCGCCGGAGACGCAGATCGAAGGCTATGATCCAGAGCCTTTATTTATGATTTACTTGTATTTTATTTATACTTGTATTTTTATTTTTTACTAGTTTGCCCCTGTGGGCATTTTCACTTATGTAGCCCTGAGGGCATATGTGTCATTTTAGTTTTATTTTATCTTGGCCTATTTAAAGGAGGCCTCATGCAATGTATGGAGATGTTTTGATGAATGAAATTTTCTCTTGTTGATCTCTTTGTGAGTTCGTGAAATTTTCCAAGATCTCTTGGTGAGTTCTTGTGGATCTCTTTGTGAGTTCTAGTGGAGGTGGTGCTCGAAGTTGGTAGCTCTAGATTCTCCCTTTCCCCTACACCTATTTTCCTCTTCCCTACCTAACCGAAACTTCACTCCCTCCCAATTCTCCCACCCGCCCCATAGTTCCACCGCCGGCCTCTCCTGGCCGATCCTGCCACCGACGGCTCACCCAGCTCCCACGGCCGGCTGCCAGCCCGCCAGCTCTAGGCCGCCGCCTCCCCCTTGCCTCCAACCATGCCGCCGGCTCCCCTTTGATCCTATCTATTTTGAATTTCAAATTCCTCTTGATTAAATCACTTTCCTAATTAGTCTTTCTCAATTTTGGAAAGTCAATTAAAGGGATTTAAACCTATTTTGAAAGTCAAAACCCTTTCCCTCTCATATTAAACCAAATAGGGAAGTTATTTTAAATTTAATAAAATCTGAAATTAAAATCAAATTTGATTAGAGTTTATTTATTAAACCATGGGCCCCACTTACTTAAACACCAAGCCCCTCCCTCCTCTCTATATGGCCGGCCACCCCACCCTCTCTCTCTCCCATCAAATTACCTTTAATTCCCCTTCCCTCCTAGTCTAATTTCAAATTTAAATTTAAGAATTTGAAATTAATCCTCTCTTCTTTTGAAAACCTGAAATTAAATTCAGGTTAATTCCCTCCCTCTACCTAGCCCACCCGCCCCTAGTCACCCTCACCCGAGCCCCAACCCGTCCACCCTCACAGCCCACTTCCTCCCGCTCCCTCTAGCTCACGACCAAGCCCCTCCCCTCGCCAAACCGCCACCTCCACCCCTCCTCTCCCCCTTGTTTCCATCGATGCTCCTTCATCTTCCGACAAAGATGCATGGCGGATCTAGAAGTTGATCACAGACTCATTCTCAATTCTCGCGGGGAGATTGATATCATTCGATCCCCCTTCTTTGATCCCGGATTAGGAGCCGAAGACACCGTCAAGGAATACGTGAACCGCATCCTTCCCCACTTAGCGGAGTTCATCGACGAACAAAGGTCTCTTGAAGAGTAGACAATCACCGGACGACAACTTGTTCCTCCACCTCCGACTTCTTCCCCGGCGACTAGTCCTCTCGGCATCACTTGTGTGATAGTGACATCCTTAAGTGTGCTTGCAATCCTCCTCCGCTAGCCTCCACTTTCAAGAGTTGAGTGAAGGATCTCTAGGTGAAGCTTCTAAATTTTAAACTTGAGCCTTTTGTTATATTTGTTATTTGCATTACCTATTAATCATTGGTTGTTATTTTGTAAGTCCTACTAATCACAAAGTGTAACATATTGCTATTGCTTAATCACTCATGTCTTCTTCTTAAACTTTCATTTGAGCAAACAAGAGTTTATTGGTAGTAAAGCAAAGTTTACCACTTCTATTAATATGTTAATTGCAATTCTTATCTATCGCATTTAGTATCACATCAACAGCTTGTGATATTCTTCAGTTTTTTCTTGTTTTATATTTTGCATTAATATGCATTGTGTTTTGTTTGTGGTTTGAAACTTGTCCTGCAGATTAGGGCAAGAATGATAGATATGGTCGCCCATGGCCTAGCTACAGTCGAGGTAACTACAATCTTTCTCTATCCTTGCATCCTATATAATGATTGCAACAGTTTGTTGATCATTGCCAAAGCGTTCTTGCGCTCCATTTGTCAAAGAATCCTGAACAATTTTTAGTCAAGAGACCTCTCATGTTGATTTAAGTTCCGTGCTTCTGCATGGGTTAATTAATGATCTTTGAGATTGACCAGCTGTCTAAAACTGGTTCTAGATCCTTGGAACAGATGCATCCTCTCACTATCCTAAACATTATTTCAAATGGCTTTCTTAGGGTGAGCAATATCAATTGATTTGTTTCAGGTATCACTTAAGCACTCTGGATCTCTATTTATGTATGCTGGTCATCTGGGTGGAGCATATGCAAAAAATAGCTTTGGAAACATGTACAATAGCTTGATATGTTTGTTCCAGATTTTTGCTGCACTGCAATTCAAAATTAGTAACTCGGTATGGTTTTTTTGATACAGATACACAGCAGTTGGTGTTTTTGTACTGGCTCGGATGTTCCAAGAGGCATGGGGTGCTGCGGCAATCGAAAAGCAAGCAGAGTTCAATGATTTTTTAGAGGTATGTGCATTTTCTAATCTTCACAAAAAATTTTCTTTATGGAAGTTAACACCATGCAAAAGTAGATCTCCACACAAAATCATGTCAAGTTTCACTCATTCTTAGCACTACGACAATAACAATCAACAAGGTGTGTTGGTATAATGTTGATTGAAAACATTTTTTAAGTTTTATTTATGACCATAAATATGATGCATATTTCATAATTTTAATTTATCGGATTATGAGCTTGACTATTAATACATGGTCTTGCTAGTCATAAATACTGCAGTTTCTTTTCTAAATGTTAGCTATTCTATCATCGATGGAGTGATGAGCTAGACTTACCGGATAGTTCAGGCATAAAATGATAGTTTTTTTCCTAGATCATGAGCGGTGACGTGTAAATACGTACATTTAACCATTGGGGAGTTGCATCACAGTATCCAAATATGGTTATTCTGTACATTGCTCTCCTTGATTCCCCATCTTGTGGCAAGGGCTGTCTAAATGCGTCAGATATTTTTTAAATATAGCAAGTTGCCCGAGTTTTATTGTTCTTGTTTTTGTTTTTTTTTATTTTATTTTTATTATTTTATTATTTTTTAATTTTTATTTTTCCCCGAGTTAGAAATATAGATGACCATTAATTCATAAATTTTTCAACATAATTGGTAGTTTGAATTAGAGGCAGTACAAAATGTATCAATTGTTTGTCCCTCTTTAATTTATCCTCTTTATAGCTGTTATCATTTATGGATGCATATTCTAGTTTTTTTTATGCTTCAGTTTTTTCTTGGATATTGGAGGTGGCATAAATTTTGTTCTTTCTGTATCTCATTGGAACTAGTCAGGATGTAATGTCATCGATGTTCTAACTACCTACGTATTTGCTTCATATATATATATTTCAGATTCTATGCATGAATTTTGCTAGAATTTCATGAATATGAAATTCCATGTGATTTTGATTTTGTATTTTCTATGCTCAAAGAGTACATTAGTTTTAGTTACCTTTTTAGTCAAATATTTATAAAACATCTGATCCTTGTGCTTCTTTGATTTACAAGAAAAATCGTATGTGTATATCAATGGAATTAGTTACTGCAGTATTGGGGGACCACGGTCAACGGCCAATTGATGACTATGGTATGTTGATTTTTCAGCTTTTGAGATTATTTGTTATACATATGTGGCTTAAGACTATGGTATGTTGATTTTTTAGCTTTTGAGATTATTTGTTATACATATGTGACTTAAGAAATAACTAATTTTTGATCTGCTGTGCATATTGGTGTCTGACAAACTACTAGTTATCATTATACTCATATGATACTAAAGAATGTTTTATTTAATTAAAAGAATTCTTCTTTAACTGTTATATAGGATACATACTTGAAATTTTATCCAGTTATATTCAAATTTCTTGTTTTTTCTCACATATAATAGACGTCTTCAACTATTTTAAAAGTCATTATACAACCAGATTTTTTGCAACCATTTAAAGGAATAAAGGCTATTTTCTCATAGTAGAGTTTCTTGACCTTCATTTACTCTGGAATGGATTGAAATAAAAAATGCCCCTTTACGTCATCCAATTTAGGAGCCCCATAATGTTTTAGTGATTACCAGTTTAAGTAAAAATTAGCTCATTCACATTAGATTGATCGGAATATAAGTAAATCTTTAATTGGTGTGGTAGTTATGGACGTTTGCGGTATCAAATTTTAATCCTTTATCTGTAGTGGAAAGATGAACGTCGCATCCTAAGGCCATAAATGTAAACTAATCCACCATTGCTATGCGGTATGTTCTGATACTTTTGTATATATGCTGTTCATGTGTCAAATAATCTGTTTTGAGTGTGTGCGCATATATATATATATAATTATTTTCATTTCTCTCTTGCTGTAATAAAATATTATTGTACTAATTCCAGTACAACTCCTGGTCAAAGAAGACTACGTGGAGTTATCCTTGCATCAATAAAAAGCATTATGTGGACAAAACTCAGTCAACGTACTCTTAAAGACGTCATTAATTCTTACCAGCATCTAAGATGCACATCTAACTATTGTCCAAGTCTTGGCATAGCTCCCTTTGCACAATTTCTAGGAACTTAGGCCTATGATGCGTCTACATGTAAATAAATGCACATAAAGGCCTAATGTAATGGTTGAATACACATTTTCTTGCTCTCCACATGTTTTCTAGTAGTATTTGAGTCTATATGCAGCAATTGGAAACATACTAAAATATTTTTCAATTGTCTAATATTAGTATGACATGGCATCATCCTTTTTTGATTCTATCCTTTTATTTGATTTTGTGCTTCGTTTTTTGATTTTTATCATCACTCATAATAACTAGTTGCAATGTTGCAACATCCAAATTATTACAAATATTGGATGGCTGTGCTTCTATCTTGCTGTCATATTCTTCTGTCCAGTTTTATTTCTAATTTTTGCTTTTATCTTTTATTAATTTTTTTGAAACATTTAGTATTTCTTATTATCTTTTATTTTGAAAAAAATTATGCTGATCAGAACTTGGACAGTTGGTTCTTATGTTCATGAATTAAGTGAATTTAGTCTTCCTACCTCCATAGCTTAATTACTGATTTAATTTAAAGACCCATGTAGGGATGATTATGAATTTTAGATCACCTTTGATTGATTGAACACATTTGAAATCTTTATGGTTCCTTGTCTTTCGCTCTTCAACGTACAATTGTTGTTCATTGTTTTTTTTGGGCAGTTGTTGTTACAGCTGTAACTGAATTGGGAGACGGCAAACCAAATTTTTTCTCCACCTCCAAAGTTATTGCATTTTGCCGCATGTGGCGCTTACCAACAAATCATGTTTGGCTTTTCTCTTCAAGGTGAATACTGAATTTTTCCTGGTTAAGTGCCTCAATATTTGCATTATTGAAGTTGAGGAATCAACAAATTTTTGGTATTGGAACCGGATATTTGTATGGGAAATTGTTTCTCAAAGCAAAGAACATGTGTAGTGAGAGGTTCCACAGTATCCGGATTAAGCCATTGGGTGTTTGCAATGACTGGTTTGTGCATGCATTTATTTGTTTTTGCTTGTGTATGCAACACGCGCTTTGTATGACTTTGTGCCTGTTATGGTGTGGTTGCTGGTGCACATAAGTCTACATGCGTGGGTGTATAGGCTCAAGTATGATCACACAATATGAGTTAGTCGATGGATGCATGTGCACGCGTGTTTGAAGTATGTAAGTGGCATCTATGTTGTTTTGCACATGTATATGAATCTAAGTAGGCCTGTTTATGTGCAAATTTCTGCAACTGCCTGTCAAATGTGTATCTTCATCTAAATTAATTATAATTGCACTTTAAGGCTATATGTAATTCTTTCCTTACAATTGGTTTTTAAACCTAGATCTTCAAAATTAGAAAACATGTAGACATGTGATCGAATTTTTTTTATGAGGTCTATTATATTCAAATAGGATGTTCTTATTTTTGTAAAATGTCACATCATGTGATTAAAAGTTCCGTTGTGAGCTGAATTTTTTAGCGAGATTTATGCACATACCACCAAGACAAAATTGTTACCCATCCAGAAAAGATGAACTAAACCATGTATTTGTATGTGCCACAATCAAATAGTTGAGAAAAAAAAAAAAAAAACAGCGGATTGGGGTTTTATTGTGAATTGCAATATTTGGGTGACAATTAAAAAATAGAAGCTAGAAGGTGTTAGTTTGGTAAATGAGAAAAAAAATCCAAAACAGTCCTCCAACTATTAGGGAGTATCAATTTAGTATCAAAATATCTCATTATTTCAATTTGGTCTCTTGAATAATGAAAATTGATCCCAAATAATGCTGAAGTTGAAACTCTCAGTTAAAGTTAGTACCTAAAGTTAAAGTTGAGGGTGTTTTTAGATAGTGCAAGCATGTGTGAAATTTCATTTCTTGTATTGCTAGTGTGATGTCACTTATATGATTACATAAAATTACAAGTTTGTGATTTAATATATTTGAGTGGAATAAATGATATTGTGATAAAATATTTTATTCTTTATATTAATTTATACATATTATGTATTTATTATTTTTTATATTTATGCACTTCATAATGAATTATTAATTAATTAAATAATTATAAAAATGATTAAACATAATTAATTATATATAATTAAATTTAATTAGAAATTATATTACTTATTAAATTAATACCTTTTAATTAATTTATATTAATTTATTAAAATAAATTTAAAGTTTTAGTTAGTTATTTTGTTTAATTAATGCAAATAATATTAATAATTTTAAGATTCCAAATCCTCATCTTCTCCCCCTCCCCCAAATTGCCAAAACCTTAGACAACAAAGAAACTAGGAAGTCATGGGGAGACAAGGCATTGGTGGGAGTAGTGGCATGCGAAGAAGAAGAAGATCAAAACCCTTAATGATCAATAAGCTAGGGAGTTGTGATGGGAGCTTGGTGGAGAAGATATTGGGGGGAACAACACCATATGAAGCAAAAGAGGAGTTCACGAGGCTTGCATATTTATTAAATCAGCCCAATGCTATGGTAAATTCGGGATTTAAGACAAAATGTAATAGAAACATTATTTAAGCTTTTGTAGGACTTAAAAAGAAATATTAATTCTAAGTTATAACTTTTTTTGAAATATCCTCTTATAATATCGTAGCCAACTTCTCACTTATGTTCCATCATATTAAATGAGAGATCATTTTTAAATCAATTTTCAATAGTCAAGAGATTACATTGGAATACTGTGATATTCTGGGACTAAATTGTCCGCTTATTAATAGTTGAGAGATTATTTTGAGCTTTTTTTCTTTGTAAATAGTCATGATTTGAGGGGTTCATATGAAATCATATCATATCTTTATTATTTTTGGCTCATATGTACTTTGTCTTTTTTTCTACTCCTAGTTTTTGTCTAAATGCTCCTAGTTTCCTAAAAGTTAATTCTTACTATTTTTCTTTAATGCTTTCTTCCTGATCCCTTGTCTGGTTTCTCCTTGAAGAAAATCTGTCACCTCCTTCTTTGCTGCCTATGATGCATTATGTGAAGAGGGAACTGCCACTCCAGTCTGTCAGGCTCTTGACGAAATTGCTGACATATCTATTCCGGGTAAATAAAAGGATAGGCTTTCGTTTTTATAAGATTGACAAATGCTTAAGCTGCTGAAGTGACATAGCTGATTCTGCAACAGAGATGAAGCTTCTCTTACCTTTTTTAATATTCATGAAGGTGTTTGTTGTTTAACTTACAGGATCAAAAAATCATATAAAAGTTCAGGGTGAAATATTGGAGGGCCTGGTTGCTCGTGTGGTGAGTCATGATAGCTCCGAACAGATGAACAAAGTTCTAAAAGAGTTCCCCCCTCCGCCCGTAGATGGATGTAAGTTTTTTTTTTTTGAACTAGAAAAATATTTCTTTCGATTTTGAAAGCAACTATGCTAATTTATATTATTATGAAACTGTTATGGTGCTTATGTTTAGATGTGGTGAGGGATGTATTCCCAACTCCCGCACTTTAATTGTTCACTTGCCACAAAAATGAAAAAGAAATGTATAGAAATGATCTTGTGATAAATTAATCTGACGTCTGTCCCTTGGTTGCTTAAGAATGCTTACGGATATTCTATTATAATCATTTTTTCATGATCATTTTATTATCATTTCTTGAGTCTATCTTTGAATTGCTGATCACCAAATCGTTCTGTTCTTGATGTCAACATGGCATTATCCTTTATTTGCAATGATAAATTTCTAGATGCAACAAAGAGTTTTTATTTGCCACGGAAGAAGTGGGCGACAAAGAGTTTCAAATGTTTTGTGGGGCTTCTATCCTATTAATCTTATATCAAAAAAGCACTGAAGTTACCCAATATTAGGAAGTATTTGACGGATAGAGCTTACATGCTTTGTGTTCTAGTGCAATGCATGCCCTTGCAACTTAACTTTGACTTAGAAAGGTCGTCATCTCTATTTAGGCTCAGCTCACATGTGTAGTGGCCTGGAAACCTTAATTTATCTTGTTTGTTCATTTTGGTGAAATGGAATTTTGCTCTCTGAATTTTGATTCAAACTTATGCTAGATTTGTAGTAAGGGTCTGCATGTCTCGCTTTGATGTTAGCCTTAAGATAGAGCATAAAAAGAAGGTGACTCTATATATATAACTTGGATCTAAAGAATGCCCAATTTGCGCCCAAATAATTTTCATTTCTCATTAGTGAATTATGATATAAGCCATCAATCCCTATTAATAGAAGTAATATTTCTAAGAAAAGACTAAATAATTTAAATTCAATTCCAATCTTAATAAACCATTCAAATTCAAACCTATTATCATAAAAAAGTATAATTTAACCTAATAAAATAATTCTAGTTAAATAAAAATTGAACAAAATTAATGATAGGCTTAACAGTCCTGAAAATTGGTTTGGTTCAACTCTCCTGTACCTTGGTTTGCCAACTTCTAATCGACGGACCTATGACCAATTGGGCTTTTGCAGGTTGATTTGGACTATTTAGTGGGCCGCATTGCAATAGTTTCCCTAAAGTGCAACGAACTCTCCTCTAGAGAGTTAATATCAATGTAGTTAACCTATATATCATGTGCTAGCTTTTATAGTTCATCCTTATCATCCTTTTATCATTTGAGGAAGGATTGTGTTTCCAGCTTGCAATAAATTTGTTCCCAACTTTTTTTAAGTATCATTTAATATGAAATGATACTTTTAAAATCCAAGTAGGTCGGTCCAATTGAAGTACTTGGCTCTGTATTAGCAACAACTATATTAGAAATCCATCTTGCAGAATATTTAGTTGGTTATTCTTGAAGTTCTTATCTTCCTTGATAAGACAATAAATCTTAGTGCTGAAAGCATAAGTTTTAAACATATCAGGAGATAAATTCAAAACATAAGCATTTGAATTTTCTTACTTGGAAGTGGCCACAAACTCTTGCATTTAATTTTTTTTTTTAGTTTCTACAAAGTATTTGGGATTATAGTATTATTTTTCTATATACCTAAGAATCCATATTTACAAGTCTGATATAACATCAAATTGGATAGTGTAGGTTTACATCCTGGACTAAATCACCGAAGGAGATGCCACAGGAACAACATGATGAGCAACATAATTAGCTCCTTCTATAGAAAGTACTTTATTCATAGGCATGCAAGTACAAACTCAACTATTACTCTATTAGATTACCACTCAAAATTCTTAGGGATGCTTTGATTTAAGTTGAATTAAATTCAACTTGAATCATTCCTATGTAACACTCTTTGTTTAGTTCATTCTTTGACTCCCATAGAGGTTTCCAAATGACCTCCCAAGTGTTTCAAGTGAGCATCAATGATCGTTAGAATCAAATCCTAGGTCCCTTGGTCTATTTGCTTAAGCCAAGATCAACAAATAGCTCTCAACTTTTTGTATCAGATTCCAATCATAGTATTTCATATTTGCTTAACTCAAATTAAGCAAATGAAGCTTTCATTGTTAAAGACTATAGTTCTAGGAACCTCTTTTGATTTATAGCCCCAAAATTATAGATCATTTCTCTAACTTTCAATGGTATTTGCTTGATTTAATTAAATAAATACATTGATTTCTATGGACCTAAAAGTTAGAATTTTCTAGTACTATTAGCCTAGAAGTTGTAGGTCAAATCCTAGTCTCCCTAGCCTAAAAGCTATAGAAAATTCCATAAATCTTTTGCCTTCAAACTAGATACCAATAATCTTAATTTTGTTGCATTTACTTGAACCTAACTCTAGTAAATACTCCATCATGTTATGCAACATAAAAATTACATATAATCCATCTCTTTTAGCCTAAAAAACTTTATGTCATCAACTGTTTTCTTAACTCCCAAAACTAGTATAACACTTGTCTTCATTTACTTGGACCTAAAATTAAGTGAATGAATTCATCATCTTACTTTAGACAAAATCCTGGTAACCACCATTTGACCCAAATCAAATAGAAATCCTTTCTTCCTATTTGGCCTCAAAGCCAAAGATTAGTTACTGAATCCAAACTCATAGATGACTTTCCTTAGTCCTCAAAGCCAAAGATTAAGCTTCAAAAGCTGTAGACCAAATCCCATCTTTTCAAGCTTAGCCCAAATAAGCAAGTATTTTTCTCATTTTGTCTTAAAACCAAGACCCATCTACATGACCCATTCAAGTAAGTGAACTTTCATATCTAAATCCAAACTCTAGATTATCTCATTTAGCCAAAATAAGTGAGTCATCTCATTTATCATAATTAAATTAAATTAAGTTTTTAGGTCTCTTTAGAAGTAGTTATCTTGAAATTCAGCTCACCCAATTTGGTCAATTTTACATAGCAGTGAAACCCTTACGCAAATTTGCTTTACTCAAGTAAGCAAACTTCTCTCTCTCTCTCTCTCTCTCTCTCTCTCTCTCTCTCTCTCTTTGATGTGAATCATGTAGGAGTTGCTTGCGGAAATTAAGATGATAATTAAATAAAGCATTACCACCACAAAGTTATCACCAATAAAATAAAGGATTAAATAAATTCTAAGTAGTCAATTTGCTTAGGCGAAGATGTGCTTTGAAGTAACCAAACAATTCAAACAACATCCAATGATAAAAGAAATACTTAAATGCTCATAACAAAATCCTACGCTTAATAATGAGAAAATTCACCTCGAGCACCTTCTCACTCATTCACTCTTGGCTTTAGCGGTGGAGAAAGAACCATACAAGGATGGAGAGCACCACTACGGAGAAGGAGACGAAGGAGACGGGAAAGGGGAGGGGAAGAGGTAGGGTGTAGGAGGTGAGGTGGAAAGAAGAAAACAAGAAAAAAATAAGATAAGACCAAGAGCTCACCTATGTGGGCTGTTGGGTATTCCGGTTGGAGCCTCTCCTAGGTCTCCTCTCTTTCTCTCAAGCTCTCAAACAAGAAGAAGAAGAATGAAAATCTCAAAAATTTTATTAATCAAACATTAACCTCATACAAAGTAGAAGACCTCTCTATATAGGTCTCATCAAAAGAAAATAACATGACTTAAATGCCCAAAGGGCTACAACAATGACTAAACATCCATGAGGGCAAAATAGTAAACTGAAAAATTGAAATTAAAAGATACATGGAAAACATAAAAAAATATAAGCTCCTAATTGTAGCCGTCGATCTACGATTCCTTCGCCGGTAGACCCGCCTAAAATGTTTGTCGATGACCTCATCACTCTTAGTCTAAGACTAAGGGAATTTATTAGAATTTTATAAAATTTATTTGATTTCTTTGATATATGTTGGTCATCAAAAGAGAAACATAATATTAAGTTAAGTGTTAGAAAATGAGGATGCTTAGGTGGATGAGTGGATTTACTCTTAAAGACAGGATACAAAGCGAGCATATATGTGAAAAGGTTAGAGTATCTCCTGTGGCAGATAAGATTAGAGAGAGTAGCCTTAGATGGTTTGGGCATATAAAATGGCTGCCTTCCGATGACCTGGTTAGGAGAGTAGATGTATTATATTTGGTTTATGTTAAGAAAGGTAGAGGTAGACCTAAGAAGACTTGGTTAGAAAATATTAGAAATGACATTTATTTATTAGATTTAAATGAGAATTTGACTTTTAACAAGGCACAATAGAGAAAAAAGATTCATGTAGCTGACCCCACATACTGGGATAAAGGCTTAATAGTTGTTTTTGTTGGTTTCTTTTGATGCAATAGTGTACTATTTCACCCCAAAAAGTGAAACGTTTATGTTATTGGACCTCATCACATCTTGAATGATAGGCTTGTCTAAAAGCAGTGGTTTTCTATAGGTTTTTTATAACCGTATAAAAATATAGAAAATATTTAAAATTCAAATAAAGTTTTAGGCCACAAATAATTTAAAGTGAAATCACCTTAAGAATAAAATTAAATCTCTTTCTTTTCAACAATAAAACACCTCATTGAATAATGGTGTGACAATCATATGAGCGAGAACACGCTAGATGTACAACTAAGTTATCTTTGGACTGAGCTTTTCCTTTTTTGTGTGTGCGATTGTGATGTTTTGTGTGAAATGTTTGATGGATTGTCTGTATTACCATATTTACATTTAGGTGTTAGGATATAGATATCTATTTTCGCATTAAGGTGGCCATACCTAAAAGGGGCAAACAAATAAAAAATTTATCCTTTAGGCTTTAATAACATTTTCTTGCAGGCGCCACTTGTTAACAGTTTGTGCCATATTTTTTGATTTTATTGATAGAATTTAGATGATGGAATCAACTTGCGTTATAGATTTTCCTATAAAAAATAGCTGGGTGCTCTTATGGCGTTAAATGTATGATTGTCTGTTCTAATATTTTGACTGCCTAGAAAATATTTATTATTGCAGCCAGCCACGTATTGGGACCAAACTTGCGTGAAGTCTGTGCTGCTAATAGGGCTGACGAGAAGCAGGTAGCATTCAGTATTTGGCTCATTCCTTCGATTATTAAAATTTGGGAAGTGAAGTTATCAACATAGTTTTAATAATTTGTAGCAAATAAAAGCACTGCTTCAAAGTGCTGGAGTTTCAATGTGTCCAGACCAGTCTGATTGGTTTGGCGATGGTGTTGGTGCTCATTCTAGAAGTGCCGATCGATTTGTTCTTTCTAAGTTCTTACAAGCTCATCCTGCGGACTATTCTACGATTAAGTTACAGGTAAAATACACTGCTTTAAATTGTTTTATTTTTGATCATCTGATTATCATAAATGGCATTTTAAGGCCAACAGCCTACCTTTAAGATGTTTATAGGAATCTTATTGAACATGTCGTCAGGCTACCGTTTGTATCAAATACTTTTTTCTGGAATTAACATTATTCTTGTTAATCTAATGGACACTCATACTGGTTATGCTAACAAGTGAAACCTTTCTCCCCTTTTCTCCTTACTAGCATGAATGGTATAGTACCAAATCCAAATGTATCTACCTTAATTTATGATATAATTTGAGACATATAAAGTTCTCAAGCCTTTTAGTTATTTTATTTTATTTTTAATTAATAAGCTCTGCAATACATTATTACTTGTTTTTTTAATCAATACTATTTTAATTTGTTTATGAGGAAAATATTCGAACTCAAGTGCATGAAAAATGTGCAATGTAGGTTAAAATGGAAACTGAAATTTCTAATAAATCAAAGACTTTGCTTGAACAGTCTTAAAATTCATGAGATGCACCAGAAAATTTAAATCTTAAATAGACGGTGGGATCCAATAAATAAAAAAGAGTGGTCTACAAAGGCTACAAATAATTGCCTTTTTGAGTCGAGAAATTATGATGGAGAAACTGGCATTGGATGTCCTAAATTCCAATAATGTTTGAGTCATATCCAGTTCAGTAAAAAACATGAAGGAAATTTGGCTTATTTGGATTTAAAACATAGATAATATTATTACAAATGTGTAGTAGTGAATGATATTACAAAATTTCGGGTTCATGTTATTTATTATGTTTTCTTGTAAAATGATTGATCAAAAACTATAAAAAGATAACGAATGATATAATGCTAACTGTTTGAATTATAACTATATTAAAAAGTATTTTTCCGCAGAAGTTTTTAAAAAGATGGAAATGTTGCTGTGATTTGTTAACTGTTTGAATTATATAACTATTTAATTGGAGAATCAAAATGCTTTGATGCAAAATTAAGAACGAATGGCTCGGTCATTTCTTGATAAAGTTTCATATAAGTGACCGTCTCAAAGGTTAACTTTTGTCATTGGTAGAATGATTACGGGTGGTAGGCCCCCCTCACCTTGTCAGCGAGAGAGAATTTATTTATGTTCATTTTGGTATCTTTGCATAGAAACTGATGGGTAATACTGCTTAGGGATACTGGCTATAAGGGTATAATTGGCATTGATGAGACAACATGCAGATAAGGGTGATAACATTGACATAACTTTAAGTAGGTACGTCAGTAGAAGGGTTCCCTTATGTCTGTTGACCTTGCTTTTGCCTCAGACCCTTGGGTCGAAGGAGTTGACTTGGTCAAATTGACCAAGCCAGACCCCAAGATCACCTCTCTTGCATTCAATGGGTCAAACCAGGTCTGCTGAGCCCAAACCCAGGCCCTGGGTCAACCTAGTTGACCAGATCAATATGGGTTGCTTGGCATAGTGGGTGTATTTCTTTTAATAATCTTGATTCTTTTTCTTTAATGCTTTGGCAATCCCGCTTGACTGGTTGCTATTTGACGTATTACTCATTTGTTTTGTAATATTTAATTACCATGGCAATCTTTTTACTTTGTCATAGGAAATGATACGCTTGATGAGGCAAAAGCATTTTCCTGCTGCATTTAAGTGTTATTATAACTTACACAAAATCGATTCCATAACAAATGACCATCTTTACTATAAGATGGTCATCCATGTGCATAGCGACTCTGCCTTTCGAAGATATCAGGAGGAAATGAGGTTTTTTGATGATTTGTGTAGTTTGAACTATCTTTTTTGTTACTCCTTGGAAGTAATTTTATGTAAAGTTTTCATTGAACAAAATACTGTTTACAGGCGGAACCGAGAGTTGTGGCCCCTTTATAGAGGTATCATACCTCTCTGCTGATCTTTATTTTTGTGTTCACATAGACATCCCCTTGTTCTAACCCATTTATTTTTTCCTAAATTCTGATTATTTTATCTTTCTCTGGTAGGATTTTTCATCGACATTGATTTATTTAAAGTACAGAAGGATAAGGCTTCTGAACTTGCAAAAGAGAGCAATGCTCTGCTAAGCAATTTGAGTATTAGCTGCTCCTCAAAAATAGAGAAAGATGGTCTTGCTGATGATGATGCAAATTTGATGATCAAATTGAAATTTCTTACATATAAGGTATGGGCTGAATTAGTAATTTCTTCTTTCCTCTGATATACATTTGCGATTGAGTAAACTATTTCCTCTACTGCATTTAATTACATTTTTTCTATAGAATTATCTATGTCAAATGAAATACTTTGTTTCACATATTCCATCTTACCACTTATTTTTATCATTTTGCATCCTATTATCTGCATCAACTATTTGCTAATTAGCAAGAAAAGCAATTTTTTTTTTGTTCTGTTTGAGAACTTTTGGAACAGCAGTGTGCCTTTTGGAATGAAAAGTCTTGATTGTTAAGTGGGAGATTTTGTAAACATTTCTAACTATGGAGGATACATTGATGTTGCCACGAAAACAGAAGCATAATTCCAAGTAGATAGCTAGAGGCTTTTTATTAACTTTGAAAAAGAAAAAAAGAGATTAGTGTAGTTTTGGTCACCCAAAATTGTGAGCTCGCACACTCTTAACAATTTGTGAACTCACTTGACGCATCATGAAGTGACACTATCATTCTTAAGCTATTTTTCAAAATCCTAGCATATATTTGCCTTTTGCAAATACAAAGATGAACTCTCAGATGATTAAATGAGGTTGTTGATTGGAAAATATTAGGGTGTCAATTATTGATCAGACCCGATAAATCAAACTAAATGCCACTTAGAAAATCTGTGTTCGAGTCGATCCATTTAACAAACGGGTCAGGTTCGGATTCCAATTTATGACCCATTTGAAAAATTGGGTCAGGTTCGAGTTAGTCTGCTAACTTGATTTTGACCCGGATCTGACACGAGTTCCGGCTGCTCACCCATCTTCCCGCATCCGCACAAGCTCTGCTGCATTCACACCGCACCCACACAGGAGGGCAGCTGCGCTTGCACCTCGCAAGAACCCGCGGTCACACCCCGCATCAACGCTAGCACCCCGCAAGCCTGTTGCACGTGCTCGCGCCCGGCCCTAGCCCGTGTGGTTTGCACCCTCCCCCTTGCCCTCGCCCGCATGGCCTGCACCCTTGCTCGCCTGCAGTTTGCTCACAACTCTGGTTAGCAGGTTGGGTTGGGTTAACTCGGTAACCTAGTGGGTCGGGTATAGGTCTAAATTCTTGACCCATTTACCTAATTGGGCGGGTTCGAGTTGGATGAGTTGAAGGTAGGTCAATTTCGGGTTGGACCCAAACCTACCCAAAAACTCATTTTGACACCCTAGAAAATATAATTAAATGGGAGTGGTGAGTGGTTAGTGGTGGTTGAACAGTTCAGTCTCAATGCATTGGATACTTTCTCATTATGTCCTTCATTGAAGGAAACTCTGCCTTAAGTTTGATATCTAGCAATGCTCCTCATCATGGAAGTCAAATGATATTTCATGAAATAATGAAGCATCCATTTTCTTTATGCGCATTCTTTTTGGTGCTAGATTTGTCACATTGCTTGAAGCAGGAACGTTAAATACCTACGTGTAGTAGCCAATTGATTAAATCACATGTGCCTGTCATACATTTCCATTTGAAATGCCAATGGAACACATTAAATTTCAGAATTGAAAGAATCGTTAGTCTCCACCATGATGTAATACTACATAATTCTGCATACTGAAGTATTAAAATACTGCGTTTTATGCCTTTACCTTGATTTGGGAGTAGTTTTAAATAAGAAGACATTATTAGCTGTCAACTTCATTACTTACCTCAACCACTAGTTCCTCTAGCCCTCTCATTAATCTTTTCCTTGATCATTCGGTTTGAACATCCTTTTTTTATTCCAACTTTCTAAGAAGACGCAGAAACAAATCGGAAATGGCCTTTTCAGATTGATAATGGTTGATACTGGTCTGAAACAAACGTTTTTTCCTTGTATATATTTCTGATTTTGGCAGATGGGGATTCCAATTTCACATGTATATACCATTTTGGAATTACATATTATTTTTGTGTGATTTCCCCTGCAAGTACTTTTCCCTTAACCATAAGAAATGTGAGCAGACTGCAGTACTTCCGCCATTGCTACTGCACCTCCACCATTGCCATTGTGCCTACTGCTGATTGTTGCTTTCCTCAACCACCAACCGTCCGCCTCCGTGGGTGGCCACTGCTGCCATTCATTGTCACTGTTGACCACCATCATCGTTGAGCTTTACACTACATTCATTTTATTTCAAATTAAATAAAAAAGTAGTCATCTACATCTGTTTTATATTCATCAAAATAACTCAAAATATTTCAAATATATTTTCAGTTTACACTGTATTCTTGTTTATTGTGCATTCCTTTTCAACAAACCAAATGACTCTTAAATGTTGTGCTCAAAATATATTTGTGAAGCATTTATGAGTAAGTTACAAAGTTGAGGACACGAAATGGTTCTAAACTATTCCTGAAAACAGCTGGTTTATTTGCGTATTGCTTGACCATCATCTAACTTCATTATTTCTTTCTTTCAATATTATTTTGTAAATATAACATGATTTTATTTTGTTGGATATTGGAAAATAATTATGATGATTTATATTTTTAGCACTTGTAATTTGCTTATTAAATGCAGATTCGCACTTTTTTGATCCGCAATGGTTTGTCTATACTTTTCAAAGATGGCCCATCAGCTTACAAGACATACTACTTAAGGTATGCGTTTTATCGTTCATGTTTTGTTAGTAATAATATACCAACATGATGCAATTTTACCCTCAATTTAGGACAGTTTACATTAAGGTATTTAAGAATTTGTTTAAGCATTCGTAGTGATGGCAAAAATATGTTGATCTGTTAAGCTTGGCTTAGTTCTTTTGCAAAATGTGTCTACCACTTTAAAGGGCTTTCTCAAATTTGGGTATGTTTGACTGTTTATAAATGGAGGAAGTGATATATGCAGCTTTGGAAATGGAAGTGAAGAAAATCACTTTTAAAATGAAGATTTTCTCTTTTTTTCTCTCTATTATTTATTGTGTAGGAAGACGAAGTGTCTGATTAATTTAATAAAGTTTCTATTATATACACACACACATAACAAATATGCATACTATGTAATTTATAAATATATAGCACTTGATATATTTATTTTCTATGTTAAAATGAATGCTGTTGCCCCTATCGAAAGGATAAGAGTAAAAGTGATTGATCATTCATTCTTCCTACTCTTTTTGGTGAACTTCTCTATTTTCACCGTAGCCTCGGGGGGCTTTCTGTAGTGTTTATAATATTTTTTTTTGATGTGTAATTTCTTATTGTTGTAATTGCACCATAGATTACTTTTGAAAGTAGTTTTTTTTTTCGTTATTTTGGACAAGAATGGCAGTAAGTCTATTATCTTGGTGTTTCGCAGTTGTCATGACAAATGTTTTGGAGATTAGAGCATTGAGCATTGCTATTATTTTTCCTTTTTCGACTTGTTTGAGAGAAAATACGTCATTTAGTAATGGTTGATTTTGTCTACTTAAGAATTTTGATACAAATGTGGTCAAAGTCATTATTGAGTCCTACAAAGAACTCAAACATCTTTTTTCTTTCTAAAAATTGCTTGAGAATTACTGCATCATTGCTGCATGTCATCTCAAAATTTTAGTAATATTCTAGTTTAAGCCAATAAACCTTCATTGCATTAAAGTACTCAATAAGAGGAATATTACTTTTGATCTCGTAGATGAGAGAAAAATCCTTTACTTTTGAGCATGTTTGTTTGATGACATCCTGAACTTCTTTTGCCGTGGAGAGGAACATAAATATCACATTGATTTTAGGTTTTATGACATTTCGCAATCATGCCATAATCATGATTTTAGGCTTTATGACATTTCCCAATCATGTCATAATCATAGAATCTGCTTCACTTAAAGTATGAACTTTGGGTACATTGGCTTTGGAGGAGGATCCACAAAGTGATGGATATTCTCTTTCCTTTTAGAAAGTCTTCACAATTTTGGGTCACTTCATATTATTTCTCTCATTTAAGTGATATGAGGCATTTGGAGTTCTCTCGTAGTCTTGCTTTCACCATTCATGATGCTTGATTCCTCGGAAGGGAAGTAAAAAATAAGCCGGCATGATAAATGGATGAAGAATTCTTATCAGAAGGATATAGAAAATCGAGGAAGAAGAGGTGTCACATGGATTGCAATCTAAGGGCTAGAAGAAGATCGATCCAAGGTTTGAACCTTTATCTTACACAACGATCCCAATCAAGATTTGTTGACTTATGGTTCTCACGATCATTTGTAAGTCTTGTGCAATTTATTGGTGATTCCGAGAAATGTAATCCGATTTGTGAGTCTTACAACCTTGTGTTATAAGAAAGGTGCTCAATTGATAGGTCTTTCAGCCATATCCTTAAGGCAAATCTGCCTCATAAGTTGGTCTTACTATCTTGCTTTGTTGGCAAGGTGGCCCAAGTTTAGGTTGTTTGATTTTGAATTTTAATGTAGCACATTTTTGTGCTTACACTATGACTCTCCTTCAATTGAGAGATAACAAGATTGATCTTTTGATTTTTACCTGTTTGCTTGATCAACTGAGTTGGCATTATAATAATTTAGAACTTGAGAGGGCATTTTGATGATTTATTATCATTTGGATTACTTTATTGTTCTCTTGGATCTTCCCAAGGATCAATTAGAACCCTCAAGCTGAGCTAAGCTCATTTAGCATTTGAGATTGTACTTGTACACATTTTGATGCATTCGACATGTCCATCAAATTTCCAACACCATTATTGACTCTTTTGCATTTTTTGTGGACACTAAGCATGTCCATATTGTATGTTTTCCCTTGAACAATTTCCAAATTATTTTGAGTTATAACATGCTTTTTAGGGCAAATTAAAAAATTCAAAGTATTGTATGAAATTTGTTTAATCATATGTTCTTCAGCAGGGGGTCGATGTGTTGCACTTGGAGTGAATGGATCGATAAAACTCTTTTTTTTTATCGATTTCGTGCCAAAGTGCTTCTCATTTTTTGTGTTAGAGGCTCTTTGTTTGTCTATAGAATTGAATTCATTAAAATCTAGGGGGATTTACATACATACCACTTTATATTATGTAATTTACATATCTAACACAAAAAACTTTAATATTTTATGCCTAGTACTCACAGATCAAATATGGGTGCAAAGAATGAAATAATAAAGTTTATAGGGTGATAGGCATGAAATATCAAAGTTTTGGGTGTTAGATATGTAAATAGCATGTTATAAAGTGGTATGTATGTAAATTCCCCTAAATTCTAATAAAAAATTCAAAGGAGCCATAAGTTTGTAGCTTAATTTTATGTGGCCTCTGTGCATTTGATCAAGCCTAGTGTTCTATTTTAGTAAACTTGTATTGCCAATTAAATGTTCAAGGAAGTTCAACACAAACTTTGTTCCACCAATAATCTTGAAATTATAATTGATTGTATTATTTTTTGAACTATATGTTGCGGAATCATAAATTGCTAACGATTGTTGTAAAGTTGATATTTGGGGTGGGGGTTCAAAATTCTCCTACTCAAATCACAAGAGAAGGTAATATTGTAAGGATCAAACATACAAATTCAATACACAACCTATGTATACATTTGTAGGAGAACCAATCTTCCTATTGGAAGCAAGCTAATACATGAGTGTCTATGTTTCAACCACTATTTTTAAGTTTCTACACTCAGTTATGATTTCACACCATTAATAATCAATTGATTCAATCCTACGGAAGAGAAACTAAGATGTAGGTTTAAGAATTAAGCTATGTGAGCTATACACTAAAGTTCAAGTTACTAATCTTCTTTACTAAAGGTGCTGGTTAATTAATCCTATTACACCAAAACAAAAAAATGCAAACTCAAGTAATATTTTGGTGAGATATATGTTCTATGCCAAATATGGGAGCGTGCCAATATACTGGCACAAGAAAAATGATCTATGTACAAACTTAGCATAATAACAAACGACATTCACCATATTAATTATAAAGTGCAAATAATCGAGATAATTGCTTGCAACCAAAGAACAACACAATATCTGTGTGCTTTTGGCAACCCTTAGGCCTATATTCATGCCCATCCAACACCCACTCATATTAGGATTTCTACTACTTCGAAATTATAATTTCCTCCTTCACGATGGAGAAGCCTTAGACTTAGGGCTGCAAGCGAACCAAACGTTCGACGAGCTACTCATTATTTGGTTCGATTAAAGCTCGTTTGTGATCGTTTAATTAACTTAACAAACAAACTTGAACAATATTTTAAATTCTCGATTCTTAAATAAACAAACTTGAACACTAATGCGCTCGACTCATTTATGTTCGCGAACAACATCATTTGAAGTTCGTGAACAAGCTCGACATTAAGCTCGATAAAAGCTCGATTCATGTTCGATTTTGAACTCGTGAATAAGCTCGACAAAAATAATTAATATTTGATTATAGAATTAATAAATATAAATAATATAAATATTTTATATTTATTATAAGATAATGATATAATTATTGTTAAATAATAAAATTTAAAGTAAATAATATTATATTATATGCTAATTTAATATTTTTATTAAGTTTAACGGAATGATATCAAGGTCCAAAAAAAGAGGCAGGCCGGCGGCAAACTCATAATTTATTTCTTTGTTGGCTCGTTATCTTATATTCCCGAGGACCCGAGCCCTAATTTTTCTTCCTAAACGCGCGGGCTAACGGAGGCAGAAAATTCTGTAAAGATGGGATTTGCTTATAAATCATTGCCTTTGTTACATAGACAATTGCTTTTATTATAAATGTGTTTGTTCATAGAAATGTTCATGAACGTGTTTGTTTGATAGTTAAAAAAAATTCATTAAATATGTTCTCGAACATGCTCGATGTAATCGTTTGTTAGGAAGCTCGATAAAGCTTGTTTGTTATGTTAATGAACATCTAAAAGTAGAGCTAGTTTATAGCTTGTTAATGTTTGTTTGTTTAAAGCTCGATAAGCACTAAACGAACAAACATGAATCAAACATGAACACTCATTAATTTAAATGAACCAAACATGAACACAAAAATTAAAGCTCGAACAAACATGAACCAAACTTGAACAATCTGATATTAAATGAGCACAAACATGAACACTCACATACTTGGCTCGGCTCGGTTCGTTTGCAGCCCTAGTTAGACTCTCTTCATTTATGTACTAGAGTACCCAAATACACCTAACTTTAAAAGAGAGCATCTAAACACGCCTTACCTTAACAGGCTTTGGCAACCCACTCTAAAAAAAAGAGTAAAACACCATGTCATGTCAAAGTTCTTTTGAACTTTAATGGAGACATAATGATTACTCTTAAATTTACCAAGTTTAATTTCTACTTAGTGATAAAAAAGATCTATGAGAGAAAATATGATTTACAAATACCTAGAGATTAAGGGAGTGAAGTTACCAAATGATTAACCAAAACAAGGAAGAAAAGCTTTGGTGAACTATTTAAGAATCTTCTTAAATTTTCACTCAAAGTATAACATTTATGCTCTCATAATTCAATACTCTCCTAATTTTCCTTTAACAAATTTTACTGTATATTAACCTTAAAACTCCACAAAAGCAATAGAAAAGTCCTCAAAAACCTCCCCAAAGTTTTGTCGAAACGGCTAATCAACCATTCCAATGGCTAGTCAAACTAGTCTTTTCATTGCTATAAACAATACACTGAACCCCTTGGTCGCTCTACTTTCCTCTTGAAATGCATGCCGTGGGCTTCAATGCAGTGGAAGTTTATATAAATAGTTGAAACTTATTTTACTTTTAAGATAATGAGTATAAATTTAAAGTATATGTTAGTGTACATTCAAATTGGGAGATTAATGTCTTAATTAGCATAATTAAATACATTAGGAAAAATTCAATATATATAAAATTAAATATTTAGAATTAAATAAGTATAAATGCAATCAACATTCATAATAATTAGCCAATTAATGATATCATCACCAAATGTATTAATGATTATGTTAAATATCAAATACACAAAAATAGGAATAAATTAAAAATCACCTCAAGCAGTTTTCTAAAAATTATAAGTTAAATTTTTTATATTTGAAAATAGGTTTTGAATAATTATAACAAAAGTTACTAGTGTTCATTATCCTCGATGTTATTGATAAAATTAAGCTCAATCGAATATAATGAATTTAACAACTCAAAAGCTATGCTATAACCAAATGACTTGGACTTCATAATCTTCATGACTTCAATCCTTCAACACTCCTCCAAGTAATCAAATTCTTAGTTAGCTAAGTGATCAAGGTTGATGTGATGACATCACACAAGATCTATTATCATCATATTAAATCGTGAGATGCTGATAAGAAACACTTGAAATTAAGTACTTCCTATTCACCTTTACAGCAAATCTCCACGAAATACTGCTGTCCGGAGCAGTAAAACAGTAATAACAGCGGAAAAACTGTAGAAAACTGAGAGAAATGCGTAGGAAAAACTTGTATTTTACTAGTAGAAGAAGAAAACATCAAAGATACAATTGATCCTCAATTCGAGAGGAGGATCGATCTCTCCCAAATCTCTAGACGCCGCTAGAGCCCAAAGAAAACCTAAATCTACGAGATCTCAAATTTCAGCCAAATTCAAGATGCCCAAACCCTAGGAAAAAGATCTATTTAATGCATACAAATCAAAAGGAATTCCCTAAACAGTCCCTACATTCAAATTTCTCTCTGAAACCCCCCTAAAATCCTTCCTAAAACGCTCTATATGAGCGGTCGGGCCGCTTGTTCTGGCGGAATCTCCGCCTGTTTTTTGATTTCGCCCCTGAACCGGTCCCGCCTGGATCGGCTGGACCGGTCCAGTGGACCGGTCTAACAGATGCACATAAGTACATATCAAACAAGATAAAAATGAACTGCACATCTTTCTATTATTTGTTGGTTTTCTCATGTGAAGGATGCTATGAGGTCCACCTTAATAAATGCCATAATGGGGAGGGTCATGATTTATGCTATAGGAAATGACTATCATGCTCACTCTGGTAGATGTTGTATTGGGAATGAGATTCTATGAAGGTTTGAGATTCGTTTGCAAACATGCAACAATTTACTATGAATTTTGTTACTTCTCTCATATAAAAAAGGCTACAAGGTGCTAATGGCCATAGAACTAGGTCATGAAAGTGAGAAAGAGAGGCAAGTATAGACTTGAATCTTCTAATGATATCGATGAAGCTTAGTTCATCTTTGATAGGTAGAGTGACATCTTCAGCATATTGACAACATCGAAGTCACTCAACAATTGTCTGATTCCTCTCTATGATAGTTCAAAATTTATCGAGTATCTTTATGACATAGTTACGTGTGAAGGAAAAATCATTCTCTATATATTGAGCTAGTAAGGAGGAGAGATCTTATGCCAGAACAAAGATTAATGGCAAAGGAGCAGCCTTCAAAACCTTGTTAGATCAAAGATCGATGGCCCTTAGACAACTCACATGTTATATATATATATATATATATATATATATATATATAATTTTAAACCATTTCAAATATTTGTTATTTTGATTATGTATAATCATTATTAGTGGGCAGACAATCAATCCCTTTATCCATAATAATGATCAACGGAGGGGAAATGAACCTGATGTCGAACCAAAGATAAATGTGTGAGGCGATCTTTAAAACCTTTGAACCAAAAATCGATGATGCGGGGTATTCAATTCGCTAGATCAAAGATTAATGAAAATTCATTTATTCACTTGTATTTGTGCACGAGAGAATGAAAGAGAAAGAAAATTGAATTTATAGCTATGCTTGTGTGAAGAAGTTATCCAGATTTTAGATTGTTGGGGGTTGGCCTGTAGGACTTTAGTGATTTGAGCTTGATGTTGCTATGTTTAGATGCCTGGGATCTCATGTGAGCGTTAATGAAGAAACTGAGAAATATTCAACAAACTAGGGAGATGCTTGGGTGTGGTCAAATGATGGTGAGGGGAGAAAAGGAGAGCAGGGCTAGAGACATCGTTGGAGGAATTATTATGAGCAGTGGGGATGTATTGGTAAGATGCAAATGAGACTCTACATGTTTGAAATTTCGTTAATATTAATTGCGATTCCTTCTATCAGTCATGATTTTTCTAGCTTATCTTATCATTTTGTTGCATCACTCAATTAGTATAGATTTAATGGGAATTTGACTTTTAATTGAACACAATGGATAAAATGACTCATGTAGCTATCCCCATCTAGTGGGATGAAGGGTTGATGTTGTACTCAATTATAATTATATTATTTACGTTGCTACTGTTTATTCTGCAAACTGATCTCTTGTTATTTTGCAAGGCAAATGAGAATCTGGGGAACATCAGCTAGCAAGCAGAGAGAGATTAGTAAAATGTTGGATGAATGGTGATAGCTAGCTTTGTGCTTTGCTTCTTTTTATATTTTAATTTATTTGTTTTCACTTCTGCTATTGCTGTTGCAAAGCCTTTATAGTCTACATTTGCAGGGCAGTTTATATTCGACGGAAGTTTGGACACAGACAGTTGTCATCGTCAACCTATCTTTCTGAAGCTGAACCTTTTCTGGAGCAGTATGCTAGACGTAGTCCACAGAACCAGGTTTTGATAGGATCTGCTGGAAATCTTGTTAGAGTTGAGAATTTTCAGGCTATCATTGAAGGAAGTAGAGACGAAGAGGGTGATCTTAATCCTGATGAGGATTCAGCTCCTTCTAGTCCCATCACCACAAATTTAGACATGGTTACAAAAGATGAGGGTCTTATTGTGTTCTTCCCAGGTAAATTTTGTTTTTTAATTTTAATTTTCTATTTTTTAATGAAAACAAATGTTATCTTACTTGAACATCTATGTTAGACCCTGAAATGCTTATTTGAAGCAACGAAAAATTCTTATCTCTTATGACAGTGGGTTTGTTTTATATCATTCTTTTGTTTATTCACATATAACGGATCTTCGGGCTTATTTCTTATGGTGCTTTGAGCAGTAATTTGTGCAGCTATTAAACTTGTCTGCTCCTTAAGTTGTTACCATTGATCCAAAACAAAGAGAGTTGAAAGCAAGGTTTAAAATTGCGTAAATAAGCCTCGAGACGTTTTTTGTCTGTGAGGCGAGGCGTAAGCCTCGAGGCGGTGTGAGGCGTAAGCCTCACGGACGCAGAATTGCGTAAATGAGAATTTAAGGGTTTTAGCAGGTAAATAGTAGCAAGATTCTATCATACAATAAAAATATCTAAATGACAAATGGAATTAGTGGAAATTAAGAAAAGAGATGCAATTAAATCTTATTCCAAAGTACAAAACCACAAAATTATTGTCTATCAAAACTCCCAAAGTACAAATAAGAAGGAACATATATAATCCAATCATGTCACATCACTAAATGGTTATTCCAGGAAATATTCTTTTCAAATTGTATCTATGAATGTCATATCTTCATCATCTTCAATATGACTCACTTTTCTCTTCCCTGTTCAATAAGAATGCAAACTTTGTCATGTTACTTGCACACTTGATATAAATATAATGTAATAGTATATAAGAAGTTGTGGAATACTTTTATTTGAATGTTGTACTGCAGAGCTAGTGGATGTGTGTGGTGTGGCACTAGTGGATGTGCCCACTTGATCTGCTTCGCCCCTCAAGACATCCACGCTTAGATCCTCTAGTTGCAAGTCTGATAATGATAAATCTGTCTCATCATCTATGAACCACTCATTATCAGATGCCACATCATCATAAACTAAAGGGTCCTTATCATCCTTCAATCCTTTGTTTCTTAACCTTCTTTCTCTCAACCTCTTGTTGTGTATAATATACACAAGGGAGTTTATTCTGAGTGTTGAAAGTTGATTTCTTCTCTTTGTTTGCACTTGACTATATGTACTCCAGTTTCGCTCACACCCAAAAGAAAAATAAGTGAGGCCCAAAACTCTAACAACAAAACTCTGTAATTCAGGGGTGGAATCACCAAATTGGATCCACCATTCAACTATTTTCAAGAAGAAAGATGATAATCATAATATATTAAAATGTTATGCATTTAAAAAAATAAGTATACCTGGAGTCCGATTGACAATAGTTGATTTTGCTGCTTGCAGACCAAAAAATTCCTCCTTATTCCGAAATAGAACAAGTTGTAAATCTGCAAGCTCCCAAACGGTCTGGTCCGGTATAAGGCGTTCCATGCAATGATACAAGACAAGCTTCACCTCAGGGTTTGAGGATTTCCTCTCTGAATATTGAAATTGAGGATTGAGATAATACGTCGCTGCATGTAGATGACGGTGTAACTGTACCTCCACTCTCACTCCCAAAGTAAGCACCATGTTCGATCCTTTCATCAAATTGCTCATGTTGTAAATATTTGGCCGTCGTACTCTTTTTCATATAAGTTGTAATTTCCTCCTTCACGTTATCTGTAACATTCGCACAAGGTGCTACATTCTTATGTGAGCCGAATAAGTGTTCATTCATGCGAGTTAATCCTCCCTTCACCACTTTATCACAAAAATTGCATTTTAAATAAACATACGTATTCTCGCCGCCTCCTACATCAACTTGTACACTGTACTTCCAAGAAGGATCACGCATGAATGATGTATTAGACTTTTCCTTGCCCCTAACCATATTTCCTAAAGCACAAATGCAAAATAAAACAAAAAATCTCAAAAAAATTAAAACCCTAGATTTTCTTTCATTTGAAAAAAATCTTTTGTTGAACTAAAAAAATACCTAAAATCGTTTCTGGACTTCTCCTAGAGGGCGGCCAGACACTTCAAGTTCGCCAGAGTGAGGCGGCGCCAGCGGTAGAGGCGGCGGGAAGGGAGGCCGAGTGGATGTGCGGGAGGGGAGGCCGAGCGGACTTGCGGGTTTTTTGCTTGCTTGGTTCGGGTAGGCTGTATGAAAGGGGAGGAAGAAGCTTATTTCACTTAAGTTTAAGTGAGTGGGTCCCAGTTTTTTGAGGCGTACGCCTCACAAGGAATTACGCAATTCTGCTTTGAGGCGCGCCTCACCGTGGAAGAGGCGTACGCCTCATGAGGAACCATAATTGGGCAGGTAATAAGGCATTTTTGCCTTGAATTGCGCAAAGGCGCACCTCTGATTGCGCAATTTTAAATAGAGGTTGAAAGAGAACTCTCTTAAATTTGATCAAGTGAATTTAGTGTTTTAACATCTTAGGCTTGATACTTGGGTTTAGAGCTTAGCGGTGTGCATGCCAAGTGTGATTTTAAATAGGATTTTTGGCCAAGGCCAATAGAACTGATGCAAGGTGGGAAGTGGAGGCAGTTGGTGCGTAGGATACCTTCTTGAAGAAGTCATTATTCTTTTGTTATGTAATATATTTTCGTGAGTGTAAGTAGAAAGAGAAAGAGGCTGGGATAAAGAGGGGGGGGGGGTGATATTCGATGGGGTTAAAGAGGTATAGAATGAGAAAAAGTAGAGGTTATTATACACGATTAGGAGAAAATTTTATGACTTTGAAAAGTAAAAAAATAATTGGTTGCCTCAAGATCGAGTGTAAACTATAAGCATAAAGCAATTATTCAAGGAACTAGTGAACTTATATTGCTAAAAATTATCCAAGAAGCTTTGAAGATTGAAAATCTTGAAGATATGTTGTGATAATAAATTTGTCATTGACATTGTCCACAACTCATTATAGTATGATTGAACTAAACATGTGTTGATCTGCAATTAAAACAAAAAAGAGAGAGAGAAAGTCGCTTACCTGCTCTGCCTCGCACCTCGTTGCACGTTCACAACCTCTCCCGCACGACCCACGTTGCTGTCCATGTCGCACGATTTCCTCACGACATCAAAAGGCCGAAGGAAGGGAGGGATTTGGCTGCTCTCTCACTCCCTCCCTCTCTCTCGCGATCCCTTTCGCTCTCTCTCAAACATGTGTTGATCTGCAATTAAAACAAAAAAGAGAGAGAGAGAGAAAGTCGCTTACCTGCTCTGCCTCGCACCTCGTTGCACGTTCACGACCTCTCCCGCACGACCCACGTTGCTGTCCACGTCGCACGATTTCCTCGCGACATCAAAAGGCCGAAGGGAGGGAGGGATTTGACTGCTCTCTCACTCCCTCCGAGCTCTCTCCCTCTCTCTCTCGCGATCCCTTTCGCTCTCTCTCCTTCCTATAAGATCGGGAGTTAACGACATTTGATAAGAATCAACGATTGAAGCTCGATCGTTGAGAAGGTAAGTTTCTCCCTGTTCGGCTCCTTCGTCGCCGGTCTACTTCCCCCTTCAGTGACGTTCCCCTCGTGCGGGATTGGAAGTTACGACAGTTCATAGCTGTCAATGGCGCAAAATAGCGCGCCATGGCGCACGGCGCAGCGTGGCGCACCTACGGCACCATGTTCATGGCGAGGCGCGTGTTTAAAATAGCGCGCACTATTTGCGCCACATGTGAGCCATAACGCATTGCGTACGGCGCAAAATAGCGCGCCAAATTGTTTTTAAATTTTTGTATACTTATGAATATTTTTTATATTTAAAAATATATCTATATTTGAAGATAAACGACTATTCATTGCCCTAATTTCACGAAAGATTTTCTGTTTGCTGCATCCGCCGAACACATCCCGCAGTCCCTAAGTCGAGGTCGCTGAATCTATCCCGAAGTCGAAGGTTTTCTGTTTTCTATTTGCTGCATTCGCTACTTCCGCCGAATCCAGCCGAAACTGTCCCGAAGTTGAAGTCGTTGTTTCCGCCAAATCGTCCCGCAGAGTAGTGCTTTTGCCAAATCCGCCCCCTCCTTCGTCTGTTCCAATCTATGTTGCACCGATACACCTATTTATGAAGGCGTGCTGTATCCGATACACCAATACATCGATACGTCTCCGATACTCCACCGATACGTGTCGTATTTACTATTTAGACGTATCCAATTAAAATACTATTTAATTTCAAAAGGATACGCGTATCCGATGCACGTGTCCGTTGAAAAACAAAAAGAAATTCAGAAAAAAAAATATGTGTCGTATTTACTTCCGCAGTTGCGAGCAAAGTTCTCTCATTTCCGAGATGGATTTGAGTCTCTTTATGATATGAGAATATTAGAAATTACTAATCTTTCACTTGATGAGCCTGAATTAAAAGCTATGATATTTATTGAAGATGATATAGAAGTTCAAAGACAAACCACTGAAGAAGCTAATCATATTATTCCTTATATTGAATAGTTGAAACTTTATGTGCTAGACAATTTATGTTTATGCTTTTGTTGTTGTACTAGACATTTAATGCTTACTTATATTTTGATATTATAAGCTACAAGGCTACAAATGATGTTGTTGTCATTTTTTTTTGTAATTTCAAATATTATGCTTTGATTGATTTCTTAATTTTTATGTATGATTTATAAATTATGATGCCGTGTCCGCGCCGTATCCGTATCCTGTATTTTTAAGAATTGGCGTGTCCCGTATCCGTATCGTGTCGTATCCGTGTCGCCGTATCCGTATCGGTGCAACATAGATATATATGAAAGGAATAAACTTATATTCTGTTATAAAAGTAAGAATAGTTAAAATTTTATTAAGAAAATAATTATGCTTTTTTTTTCTCTGCTACTTTTGCAAGAGAACAAAAAATTCTCTTACAATTGAAATTATTTATTGTCTATATTTTTTATTTAAAATCTAAACCCCAATCAATAAATTTGTTCACTTTCTTTATAAATTTTTTTTCTCTCTTTAAATTTCAAGTCCCAATGTGTAATTGCCTTTCACTTACTTAAAAGAAATTATCATCTATTATATTTTTCGCCATT